GGGGGGGGGGGGGGGGGACTAAAGAGATCAGAAAACACATGTTTAAGAGACAATATCACTTTTTTTCTCGACCATATTTTAAATCGATGGAAACCAGATATGGGTTATCAAATTGTGGGGGGTTTTGTAGTCTAAAATAAATTAAATGATTGTTATAATTTAGGCCATTCTATTCAGTCAGGCTACATTCTACGACATGTAAACTATTGCAGGAAAAACCTGAGATCAAGGATCCTGTAAGGGGTAATGTAAAGAAAAGGGTTGCAAACTCTTGCTCTAAACATTACAACAAAAACTATTTTTACCTGAATTCTCAGAGTAAACTTTATACATAATAAACAATCATGTTCGTCAGCCTGTAAAAAAGAACGAAATCATACCATCAAGGAGGTGTTGGCAAAGACTTTGCGATTTTCAGAGCCTCTGAGCAAATGTTGTATATCCGGCGAATGTTAGCAATCGACGGCATGTTGGGATTCTTATTTTATACCGCCGTCAATCAGAGGGTGGCAATATCCGACAATCGCAGTTATTGCTAGTCTTTGTTTGGTATCTTCATATATGCATGAGTGTTTTGCCCAGCTTATACCATAATCATGTTTATTACGACCGAGTTGTTCTGATACACTATAGAGCTAAGAACATCCAGGGCGACCCCTGAAATATTTATAATTACCAACTGTCGTTTATATTCTTCCAATCTGGATTCTTTTCCTGATACAGATGTTGATTTAGATCGATGTGGTGATTGAAGTTGTTTTAAGAGTTTAACTAGCAATAACAAACCATTATTCGGTACTCTTACAAACTCACTAACAAAACTGAAATATTAAAACCTTGTTAACAATTCTTCAATCTTAACAAATCTTCAATCTTAGCAATTCTTCAATCGTTCTAAGACTCGTGTATTATACAGACTTAACACAGGCAGATTTGTGAGTCTGTCGTGACATTTTTTGTCTCTTGGCACCCTATTATACGTGGCATAGCAGAAAAGGATTGTCCGGTAACATTTCCTTGTGATAAGACTAATGGTTTTCCAAAAAAATAAATAAATCTATCATTGCACGCTCGATGGCATTGTCAGACTTTAGTCTGAATTATGATACTTCCTCATTTCACCCGATGATGACAATGTAAATTGTTAAAACGTTGTGTACAATAAACTAAGGAGTAGTATACCATGATTTTGTGCGATCTATACCCCTAAATACCGCTTTAGGATTATCAGTCTGGAACCAAAATTATTAAATGCTCATGGCCGAAAGGCGAATACTGGTTGTATTGTAACTGTGCTAGTAGAAAAATAAAATATATTACAGTTGAGTCAGACTATGAAAACATATACATTGTAGAAAATACAAAATAAATCTCCCCTTGAAAGAATCATGTGATAATGTTCGATGTTAACATGTAAGGAACGTCATCATAATAAAGCTATATTATCGATTATCAAAAGTATAAAGGTTGTTAAACACTGGGTTTTGTTAAACAAACATTACCTGTTTTCATGGTATCGACTATTGATCAATATTAGAAAAAGGAAGATTTGCCTCTTGGCAAGCATTCACTGTTCTATACTTGAAATATTTTTTTATTCTTGAACCTTACCTTATGTTTTTAAATATTTTTAGCATTTAAAAATTTACTGGATTTTTTTAGTTAAAACTTTCAGATGCGTTAAAGGGCACATTTCTCTAGATTTTTATGTATAGTGTTCACAAATTTGAGAAAAAAAGATTTTGACCTACAGAAAAGCTGAATGTTCCTTTAACAAGTGATAAAAATGATTGAGTTTATGATGTGATTTGAATTCATTATGTGTATAGTCTTCGTAATGATGCTTTAAATCAATACTGTTTTTATATAATATATGGCATCGTCAATAAAGATCGCATATCTTCGTGCATCGTTCCTATCGACCACGGTTTAGATCATATTATAAAATTAAATTTGTTTAACACCTTCAAAGAAAACTATCGATTTGACGGTTTATTAAATGTAAGAAAAGCAGTTTATCTTTATGCCTGAACAGTCTAAGTTACCATAAAAATCGCCTTATCTGTTTTAAGCTGACGAGTGAAGAAAAAGTTTCTTGTAGCAAGTCTGGTATTCTTTTATTTCTTTATAAACTCACAGATAGATATTTATTCAAAGCAGTTTACGTGACGTTTAAAATCACATATGTACGTCTAGAGATAACCCGACTGAAATATTCTAAGCTGTTTTCTGTTGCTTATTATATGTATATACGTTTACATAATGCGTTTTGAAAGATCCATCCAGTACATCAAAGAAAATTATATATGAAAATATAAATACAAAATAGGTCTCGTGGTAGTCTAAAACTTTTAGAATCTTTAGAATATATTTGCATTTGTATACTTTGATCTTTGGTTGTTTCGTAGTTATATTACTGCTGAAGAATGGGAATGTCTACTCTCTGACCATAATGGCAGTGTTCAAGAGTTTTATAATTTACATAAATACATACAAAATAAACCCGAGGGCATTTGTCCATATGTCTATCATGGCAAAGCCAATTAGAGGTTATTATTACTATTTTACTATTACTCCACAATATTGATGAAAACCCATATAAATTGTAGAAAATGAAATGAAATGAATGGAGTTTTACGTCATACTACGTCTGCACCATGTGGGCTAATGAAGACGGGCAACGCCATACAGGATGCGATGAGGGAAATTTTGCCAGGACAGCGGCATTAGCCTGCTCTTTCGAGGGATCTTCAACGTGCACAGCCTGTAGATCACAGGGGGCCTCGGTTTATTGTCCCATCCGAACGACTAGACGCTTTTTCCATGTCAGCCCATCTTACCTGCATCACTGACAGGGGGAAACCTGTTGAAAAATCCGAAGGTATTATCTCGACCTATGCCGGGATTGAACCCTGGACCTTCAGGTTAGCAAGCAAGCGTTTAACTTACTGAGCCATCAATTGTAGAAAGAAATTAGTAAAAATTCGAGTTTTTGTGTACAAGCTCACACGCATTCTCTCAAGCTATCTGTAACTCTCTCAATTGCATTCGTTCGGACAATAAACCGAGGCCTTTTGTGCTACAAAGTTTCCTCGACAGCTGGAGATCGAAACAGAGCAGGTTTAGGCCACTGTCCTAACAAACTTCCTCTCATTGTATACTGCATGACGTTGCCCGTCTTCATTAGCTCAATTAGGTGCAGAAGTAAAACTCCCTTCGTTTCATTTCATTTTCCATTGTGTGTCATCATTTGAATAATTATGCATAATTAGTGATTTTTTCCTAAGCCATTCAATAATGATACAGTTTTCCTGGGTTAGTATATTCATAAATATATCTTATATTATACTATCTAGTCCGCAGATAAAGGATAATATTATATATCTCCAATAATAACAGTATTACTATTATTTATAAGTCTTTATTGATTGATTATCAATAGGTATTAATAAACTAGTATTCAGTCGGGATTATATTAAGTAGAAGGAAATATATTACAAACTGAATATAGAAATCAAAATACATATCTGGCGAAGTGATGTTGGTAGGGGAAAATAGCGTCTATAATGACCTACAGGTTGTGCACGTTAAAGATTACTTAACAGTTCTCAACATGGCAAAATGTAACTCCCCCCCCCCCCCCCCCCCTTCATTATCCCAGAAAGGTTTTAAAAGTAAGAGTGGAACTCCATTTCATTTGTTCATATCCATAAGGTAACAATACATGGGTGGAGCTAACATAAAATGACCAATCGTGCATCAATGCGTGCATACTATTTTTCAACTTTATTCTTAAATCTTATGACGATTTATAAATCGTCTAAACTGAATGGACGTTTACTTACAAACTATGTCATATATAACAAAATAATTCCAATGTGCTTCATACACCAATGTAGGGCAATATCTGAAACTTAGAGTAACACCACGTGCCAGGTTTTGATTTTGAACTTTTTGACGTTCGTATGTGACGATCCAAAATGGTTTTAAGACTGTAATGCTTATTGCATTCCAGGTTTATATTTGCCATAATGTAGCCTACTTACGCCTTTCAATAGAGTCATCGATTAATATGAAAAGCAAAGAAATATACCCATTTTCTTACCTTTCGTATGACATTTTAAGATCAAGTTTAAGTTTACGAAGGAGATAAGATAACGGATGTATTCCATCTTTCAGTTTTTTAGTTTTTAGCTTCTGGCCCTTTTCATCCAGTTGTTTTTTAATATGATTTATGTAATGGCCCACAGCATGTAGTGGAGCTCTTGTTTGCTGGAATTAAGAAAAAAATAGCATTCATCAATCAAACGGATTGCCTTACAAATATTTCTGTAATAAAAAATACAATATAATGATAAAATGACTTTTGTACAAGGGATTTTCAATGGACAATCTAGTAGGCATTCGAGAGTACCATGTTATGTTAAGTAAGGGTAAACATATCCTGCTTCGATAGCGACACACATCGACATAATAAGGAAGCTCTTCATTTTTTAAAATGTATAAAAGGGTGATAAATCTATTTATTTGACTATTGTCGCAGCTTATTTTTTTTAGTACCTTTAATGCTCAACAACAGGAGACCTATGTATTGGGTAAAGTTAATAATTATAAGACCGTATCTTTTAATTTGTCGCGATGATCTAAAAGATTGCTATTTTGGGTTAATGATTGGGTTAAGTCTTGCCAAGTATTGTAGATTAAGGCATTGAAAGTCACGTAATTGAAAAAAGTCGAGATTTGGATTAGAGATATCTGCAGAACCCGGTCAGTCCATACATTTCCCTACCACTGATCCTAGTAGGCCTACTATGACTCCATCACGGTTTATTAGTCATATTTTCTGTTATCTCCTACTCGGAGCCTCAAAATGAAAGTAGGTTAATTTGACAAATGTTCCAGAGTCTGGTTTGTAGACCCTACTCTGAAGTGGCTGTACTAAAAATAAAAAATACTAAAAACGAAACGAAAGTTGGGTCTAATTTTAATTAGACTGGAAAATGAAACCCCACGTGGTACTGATTAACCACTTTACAAATAATCTGTCATATAAAGGTACAAAAATGCCGGAACTGGAGTTCAGAATAGAAATTCAGAGTACATTTAACACATAACAGGGCTATTTGGATCATCGAACACGTAACACTAAATATTAGATCCTCATTATACAAACATCAAATAAGCTCCCTGGAGTAAACCGTTCATGTATTTGATCAGTCAACCATTCTTCAATTGAAAGTAAAGTTGCCATTGTTTCATAACATTAATAAGTCTATATATGAAATATTCAACAAGTGGTAGCAAGACACTATAGACTGCGACTTCTATACAAAAACAGTCACTTACCTCACTGTAAATTAACTTCCATTTTTCGTCTGTCGTCATCAACTCAGAGTTATTCATCTGAAGAGTAAGATAAGTGATGGATATTATAGCCGAAATATGGTATTACGCCACTCAAATACTAATATATATACAGAATGGGTCACTTAGTGCAAATGATATCTGTAAAAATTTTGTGGGTTGTAAATGGCAGAGTATTTAGATGTAACCTGTGCTTTGTATCTAGTCTATTTGGAAAAACAGATTCGCCATCTCACTTTTGTATGTGGAAGTCATTTTATTAATTGAATGTCAACTGTCTTAATGATCAGTATTTGTATTTTAGGAACATACAAATCTAATTACTGTTGAATGCAAATTCATTGCTAGTTTTGTTCTTGAATTATGATGATTCTATTAGTCGTACGATGATTCTATCAAAGAAAGCCATTGCGATACAGGTTCTATACTATATTTTGATCATTGAAAGTATTCTGGAATAGGTCTATCTAATTTTGCAATGTTATTCTGACGTATAGAGTATGTATATTATTCATGTATCTATTGTCTTTATAGATCTGTATAACCTAGAGATATATAGAAATACATTACAGTGGAATATTGATTATAGTATATCAACATATTCCTTCTGCGATTCAATTTAATTTAACATTGGTATTTATTGAATTACTGTCAACAATACACCATTGATCACCAGACCATATCTAAATATTGGCTCGATGATTGATCTCATTCGGAATAATCATCATCAAACCAAAAAATACAATGATAAATTCCGCATAGAGTTGGAATTTTGCTGAACTGTTGTGTTGATGTTACATTATGTATGTCGTATCTATTCTATAACATAACACGTCTTTCCATGAAATTCCATATTCTGTGAGATTGTAAGGGGTTCAACAAAATCGGGTTTAGAACGATCAAAGAGTGCAAAATAAAAACGTTATAAAAACATACTTGCTATACTCAGTGAATCTCGGATCATGAACCTGAACAAGTAAAAGCCCGAAGTTTAATCCGATGTGCAAAACTATCGCCAAACCTCGCACAATAAAACAATTTGGCCATACCGACAAACAAGCTACAGGCATTCTGAGACATTTGACAAAACCATGACATTCTCTTTTGAAGTAAATCTATTGTCTGTGAACATAATGTTTCATGCGTTTGTGTAACGATAATAAAATGCTGGAATTGCTATTGCGAAATTTAATAGAATGATTAATCTTGAAGTATATTCGTCATCTATTGAATACAGATAACAAGACCGCTTTGAATAACATGCTAATATTCAGAAACCCAATATTCTACTATGATCGAAGAAATCGAATAAAGGTACTTACGATTGTTCGGCTTCCGAAATAAAATTAGAAAAAAGCATTAGTGAGGAAACCAATATCACGACTTTCTTGAATTTTTAATATAAGTGATAATGAATCACTCCACTTTTTTGCTTCCCAGAATATCTTTCTTCGAATTCCATGTTATATTGGAATGCCATTATCGTAGAATATGAGTATTTATCATGCAATTCCTATTGTGTATAAAACTGACACTGTGTGTTAATGTCTTTGATCCCGTAGAAGCTGGAAAGCTAATAATGATATGATTGGCAGAATTAATACAATGAAGAATATGATAGAATCTAATCGATATAAAACTATTTTCTATTGATTGAATCCTGTCACAAGAAGATTTTAAATAGAATCGTCGCCTAAGACAACAAACAGACATTATCCTGTACGTCACTTGACTGGGAATTATACAGGCTTGTAATTGTATAAAGGTCGGTTGTCACTATCAACAATTTGGTCAAAGAAAACTTTAGTAGTGACAAGCGTTTGTTAAGTATTGTGAGCATAACGTCCTGTAACAGTGGACACTGGCTTAATAGTTTATTTCGGCATTTTGTTGTTGACACGAGAAGCTTGCATATTTGACCATCTTACTTAGCAACAAAGGGCAAAAACTCTGTATTCGACTTAGAGTAAACATCTGATGAAGAACGGCCTGATCGTCTCTTAACTTATCTGAAAGATGTAACTTATAGTATCTTGCTATTATTTTAAGAACACCACAATTCTAGCAAAATAAACGCCAAAATGAGAAATACGCCAACTACCTATTCTATTTTTTAACTCAAAATATTACAAGGCCAAACATTAAAACTAGATGTAACTGTTTATTTAACAATTAGTTTTTGATTACCTAGTTTGATATAAATATTAATTCAATTTGTTCAAGAAGTAAATAGCATCTTTCATGTAAATTTTGTTAGTAAAATTTGGTATACTGCTCCTTTAAGTTTGAATTTGACTTAAAAAGACGCATTGTTCTATTTATATTATTTTCTGAGATTCTTAAGAATCAATTGAATTGCATTAAATCTAAGTATGGTGCAGGGAATTTTTTAATTTTAATAAATTTTAATCCATATATTGTTGAATGTAAATGGGCTGGCATAACTTTAAACATTTAATTAACTTTCTTCTGTGATATTATTGAAATGTTTTAGCTGTTAAATTTATGTGATATTTTTTGTCCTATTTTCTGAATAAATAATAAAAAAAAAGAAAAGAAAAACCAATGATTATAAGAAAGCAATATATGAATGAATGAACGAACAAACGAACTAATGAATGAATAAATGTAAAGAAGAACTTAATGAATGAGATCGAATCTTAGCTTTAGTTTAAATTCAATAACCGTTCTAGAACGAAATAATTAATCAAAAAAGATGTTATATCTAATGAACAAAATTATTTTAAAATGAAATCACACAAACCTGTAAATCCTCATTATCATCAAACCATTCAGATTCCGAGTTTTCACTACAATTTTCACTATTTGTGATATCATCTAACATTGATTTACCGTCCATTGAACTGTGAATACCAACAACCATGTCAATCATCGTGACCACACTGAAATTCTCACGTCTTCAACGACCCCAAGAACGTAACGACACGTTTGAGTAAGAATGACATAAGTAACAACACCACAGGGTTAATATAATACCTAATAATACCTTGTCATACATTGTTTAAATCCTTTATCAAGAATAATTTAATATCTCCTTTAAAATAATTGAAAACAATGCTATATAGATTAAAATATATCTAAGATTAGGTTATCAAGTTGTCAAAATATATACGATATAAACCAATTAACACCACTGTTAAGCCAGTAACCTTCATTTATCAGTATTAATTGTATCCGCCATTCGTTTGACCAATTTTACTTTAGTCTCGGAAACAGGATATGTGTTCATAGCTCACCGTCGACATTTTAGCCTTTAAATAAACGTGTGTCCAGATTTATCTGAGTTAGTACGTTAAAATGACGACTCGTCATTTCCTGTGACTGTGACATATATTGAAAAGACATAATATATAGAAAAAGAAATTTCAAATTCCCAGTTTTAGGTATTTTTGAAGAAAATATGCGAATTTTGAATATTTCTAGTACTTCTGATGACTATTTACATATATTCAAGACTCAAAAACTGTCCCTTAAATGATAGGTTGAATATCATTTAATATGATGCATTCGTCTTTCATTTCTGAGGGTGAATCCACTCACCAGTCATGATCTTAAGAACTTGTTGTGTAACAATTGTTTTAGGCCAATAAATAAACAGCCAGTTAAATTCTCTTTTCATTAATGGTATGGCGACCACTCAGGTGGAATTAATTCTTGCATATTATTCGTTGTGCATCATTGATAATCTTTTGGATTGGTTAGCTTAAACTGTTACAGTTTTCGGCGCTACTGTATCTAAATTCGATTGAACACAATTCAAAGAAGAAGTTCGTCAGATTAAAGATGGGCACTATAGAAATTAACAGAAATAAAAGACTAGATCCAAATCATAATGGAAAATTAAAAAATGTATATGGAAGACGGATGCAGCCATCTTTGCTCTCATTTCTGGTCCACACGAGCGAGAGAAATTACGAAAAGTAGAGACGGCGAGAAAACGAGGAAAATGTGAGAATAGAGAAAAATTGCAGAGACAGAAAGACGATTATTATACACGCTTTCTGACTGTATTCTCTTTCTTTCTGATACCATCAATCCTAAATTCAATTGATTTACTAAAATAAATATAAACTATCACTAATACTAACAAAAACTTTTATTTTATGCAACAATTAAGCCAATCACAGAATAATAAAAAATTAAATTTGTTGGTGTAAACGCATTAAAGCTTAAAAAGGAAGACAAAAACATCATTTATTGAGCACAAAGCATCAAACATAAACTGAGATCTTGAGTTTCGAAGCATAGAGATATATTATCCATAATACTGCTTGAGTAAAATTCTATGTGTGTTTGAATGTATTTTAGAATCTTTGTTCACATAGGCATACAATCTTTTGCTTTTTAGGTAACAGACCGGTAATCTCTACATGTAAGCCTTATTTTATTTGTATTTAGCCACCAACCAACCTTACACTCGGGGCATATGGTAGCGTACGACTTAAGCGATTAAAAGAATTTTTTTCCATTAACACATCATTGATAAGCTATCACTTGCATGAGGTTAAAGCTTATATAATGAAAAAGCACTCTTCTATTTTTCACTCTGATTATTCCACGCCATTCAGCAAAACATGATGAAGCTGGCGATCAGAAAGATCTAATCTTTGGGACTCGATTATAGATTATCCAAACTTTATCAAACAAGTGTCTGTTAACGAGTTTAATATCGTTTTTCGATGAATGTAATTGGTCGAGAGGATTTTTATAGACTAATTAAAATTTGTACAAGAATATTTGTCTGGAGAACCTTCTGGACAGAAGTTGAAGCTCATGAGTTTATTTTAATTCAACGCCGAATCAGCAATTATGATGATGAGGATGTTTTAATCCTAAACATGTTCTGCAGTATGAGATGAGCCCTAGTTCATTAGACACGAGTTGATGATCTCCGTACTCAACAATAACAATAACAATATTATCGTTACCGAGGTCACGCTCCTGTTCAGAGTTTTAGAAAGTAAATCCCTAATCCAAAAAGCTGTTTTAATGAGGATCCTAAATACGCAGCAGAAGCATGAGGTGCTTTAGTCAATAAAAACTTTCTAAAAATGATTATTGATGAATGGAAGCTGTTTATAATACTGACTATCAAACGGAAGAGGTGTCATGGTTTTATTGGTCAACCACTCTGAAAGACATTGCATAGGAAGTGGTTGATAGTCTATCACGAACTTATTAGCAAATAAATGTTTTTTACTGATGAGATAATTCAGATCACCTACACCAAATACACAAACTCCTCTTTGCCATCTTCCTCTACATTTATCCGTTCCTTTCCACGAGGCAAATGCTGCTAACCAATCTTTCTCATCTGCTTTGCCTGTAAATATAAGGAGATAAATTGAATACATTTAATCATCGTGATGCATTTTTTTCTGATCAAAAACCTAACTAGAGATGATTTTAGTATTTAGTATTTAGTCATCTGATTGGTCTAACGCTAAAATCAATTTTAAATTTAGTTTTATTATCCAATCCGATTACTCTATTTCTTAAAATTTGGATTTTTATCTTAGTGAAGTTTTCAAGAATAAGGCCCCTGGTTATGTCCCATGAAGTTGACCTTTATAGTAGTGGCGAGAGTCGCGCGAAGTAGACCATGCTTTCATTTTTCGACACACCTGATGGTACTTCTCCACTTTTATACAACTTTTACTTCCAGTATGTCGTACTTTGGACGAGATTTTGATTAACGGAATGTCTTGCTTGTATGGATTTTTATTATGTATACTCTCTTGGACCAATGTAACATTATAATCCTTTAGCGACATTTAGGGACAGGAATCACATTCACATTTCACCTGATGATGACAATAAAGATTGTTGAAACGTTGTGTGCAATAAAACTAAGGAGTAGTATACCATAAAATTATGTTCCGTTATTAGATGTAACATTATAAATCGTGTGAGAGATAACAAACATTATATGTAATGAATGAACACCTATGTTATAATCAGTAATGAGCAAGTAGAAGGAAAACCTATGGAAGAAAAAAATGAATCGCAAGTTAATTTTATACTATGCTCTTCTGTGACCAATAAATACGGAAAAAGAACATATAAGCAAAATGGAAGCTTTTTCATCTCAAGACCTTCAGATCCTGTATAGAAGACAAGGGAAGACGTTAAAGCCAGAAGTCGAGTATTATCTCTTTTGATATTATTGTGTAAGTTAGGATATACACTGAAAAGCGGGGCTGTTGTTTTCTATACAATATAATTTAATTTTACGACATTCTTTTCTGTACCTGAAGAAATATTAACACAACCTTAAAACATATTGTTATTACATTTAAAATATCAGTAAAGTGTTGGCCGTAAAACCAAATCGCAGAGTGGCATAAATTGTTTCGGAAGTGCTCTACCTCGCCTACCACATTACATAGGAGCTCAAATTCAAAGGTAAATGATGTGTAATAAAAAGAACCTGCCTTTATAACTGCCTGGAACTGATAAATGTGGATTATGATTTAAAGTTGCCCAGTAATACTCATCAGGAGATAAAACGCCTTTACACCAGTTTAGAAAATCTTTAGCAGTCTGATTATTTATCACATAATCCACAAAACCACGAGTAAAAACTCCATATGCACTTCCTTTCACTATACTGATCCGATGTGGCGGCGGTGGGTTGCGTTTATTTGTAGAAATAATATTATATTTATTCGATGTTGTATTAACATTTTTATATTCATATATATATCTTGTACTGAGCAACCCTTTCCCTAATATCCCTTCAATATCGTTTGCATTATTGTATATTTTCAAAATTTTCACAATTTCCTGATTAGTCTTTAAGGGATACTCTTGCCCTGGTAGGTTGATGAGGTACTTCCAATCTTCTGCTAAATCTAAATGATCACTCATGCAATTGATATCCGCTTGTAAACGCGCAAAACTTTTATACACAATATTTTCAGTTCTGGAAGCAATAAAAACATTTTCAAAACAATTGGCCAAAGCACTAGCCGCCGTATGAACACTCTCTGGAGCAAAACCATCAACATGTAAACAATAATAATTCTGGGGTTTATATATCGCCCTTAAAAGCATTTCGATTTGAGCAACATCCTTATAAAATAGTATATTGTACGCAAGGGGAAAGTCTCTCTCTTCGTTGGAGTTTGGAATTGAGTCGTAACCGTACAATTGATGAAATTTTGCACAATCTTGAGTTGCGGCAGTTACTGTCAAATCACTTGCAGGAAAATACGAAATCTGCTTCATGAGCGATTCAGCTTTGGCAATTTCACTTTCATCCCCTTCTATGATACTTTTACAACTCACGTCATGGACTAGTCGCATTCCCAATTGAACACTGTTGACTTTAGGAGGTTTTAAAATTCCAGTGGCTTTCATAGAATTTGACACAAAAATTTGTTTCGCTTCAACTCTAGATCTTTTCTTTAACTTTAAAGTTTCCATTTGTGAAGTTATCGACGAAAACTGAATATAAATATAGCATAACAACACACTTAGTGTGAAAATAATTATCGATGATTTCTTCATTTCGGACGTTTTACCGATTCCGTCGTGTTATCATGAAGGTGTCAAGGAACAATCTGAAATACAAAAACATTAGAATGGATTAGAAACATAAACAAAGGTTTTAGCCTTCTTTCGTCGATGTAAGAATCACTGTCAGCCATTTAAAAATTTTGCTTTATGCTGATGACATAGTTTTATTAGCCAAAAAGGAGTTACAAATGATCTTAGATGTGTTAAATATTTGGGTTCTGATAATAGTATGGTTGTTAATTTTATGAAATCAAATGTTGTCCATTTTCGTCATAATGCAAAGCCGAGAACAACTTGTGTATTTTCATGTGGCAATGATGTAATTGAAATCACTGATAGATATGTTTACTTAGGTGTTCTATTCTGTTCAAAACAATAATCGCTAAGACAAAGTGCTAAGGTAGAGTCCCGTACGATATTTTTACTAAACTCTATGATTGTATGGTATATCCCGTTATTAGTTATGGCGCTGCAGTTTGGGGAGACCGTGAATTTACATGTATTTCAGCAGTACAAAATAGGACATGTCGATATTTTTTAAGAAGTTGGTAGTTACACCACAAATGCAGCTGTATCGGGTGATATGGGCTGGGTACCCATCCCTAAGAACTTGGAGTCATTCATCATTAATGCCGTCTTTCAAACATGTCAAATGAACGTTTAGCGGCAAAAATTTTTAACTGGGCAAAAGCCAAACCAATTAATACTAATAATAATAATAATAGTTTATTAAAGTGTAACAAATCATTACATTACATATCAAAATCTATATACAGAATAAAATAATGATTTCCGGCCATATTTGGCCTACGATACACTACATTAATATCAAAGATTATCACAGTAGGTTATAAAATATTTTTAAATTCAGTAAATATCATATAAAATGCTATAAATTACTTTAAAATTCATTGAATATCGTTTAAGATATCATATAAATATGTTGTGAAATACTTGAATATATTAAAAATGTTATAAAATAATTTGAAATTGATTAAACATCAATATGTTAAGATACTAAATACAGAATTTAATGGAATTGTTGCACATCCAAAATTAAACTGAAGTAATCATTTTGAATTAAAATCAATTTTGCATAAAAAATATATTAGATAAAAGCACTAAAAACATAAACTATGGTTATATCAATTAAAATAATACATTTAGCGAATTAAAAATCATAGTTTTAAAACAAAGAAATATTACATGGGTATAAAACCGATATGAGAGACTTGGGTTTTCTAAAAAAGCACATTGAGCATATAAAATTATAATAACAATTTTCTTCTATAAAACATTTGTTCTAAAAATTTACCTAATTTTAATTGAGCATTATCGTCGACCATAATTAGTAAAAATAGGTCATAACTAAACTCATTGTATCTTGGTTTTGTGGAATCTAAAAAGTCAATTAAAATATTACTTCTTAGATCATTGTATGCATCACATTCCATAATTACATGGAATTCATCTTCGATTTTATCTTTCTTACAAAGTGTGCATTTCCTAGTTCCAATGGGCGTTTTAGGTTTAGTATAGCGTCCAGTCTCAATGGCAATGGGTAAAGATCCACTCCGTAATAGGCATATAAGTCGTCTTTGCTGCCTAGTTAGTTTGGGGGTTGAAACGTAAAATTCAGTAGCTGGAAGGTATTTAAATTGTCTATAAGTTCGAAGTTTGTTACCATTAATATTATTCCTGTCATCGAAAATATCCTTTTGCCACGAATAATTGTCCAGTGCACATAATCTCAATTTTGCTTCTGCAGTGATGTATTTAACTGAATTTACATTTGATTGTACAACTGTCCCTAACTCTATGGATTCAACGATTTTCCATACCTTGGAAAACCAGGAATTTCTATTGTTAAAATTCTTAAGATAATGGAATATGGCACTTAAATATCTACAGTTGTCAAGTTTATATAACTTACATAGTTGTCTAATACATTCTACCTTCTGGTTTGTAAAGCATACAGATTGGTCTAATAGAATCAAAAAGTTATAAAAGCAGGTTTATAGGATAAAGTTTTTATTCTTGTAAATACTTATAATTATCTTAGTCCGAAACTACTTATTAATGAGGTCTTTGAGCATAATACCCACATATTTTTGTGACATAGTGATGTTACTAGAGATAGTTCAAAGAGTTGTCATGGTAGAAATAAATTAAGAACTTATAAGGCCATAAAAAAAACGTATGGTACTTAAGACTATGTTAAATTGTCAATTCTCCCGTCCGATAGAAGAGCTTTAGCTAAATTTAGATGTGGAGTTGCTCCCTTGAGAATTGATACGAATGTGTCCTAGTTGAAAATAGGTTATGTTTATTTTTATCGTTTTTTTGCATTTATTTTATTATGACTAACGTAATGTCGTGTCTCGTAAGTCATACTTGGCCGAGCAACAATTTTATATTATACTGTGTATTTTATTGCATTATTTTGTATTTTGCTGTGTGACACGTAAATAAACCATTACTACTACTTACTAGCAAGTTTAAAATTTTTGTTGGTCATCGTAAGAGGAAGTATAGTCTATCTATAATGAGACTAAAAACTAAAAACATTAAAAATTGTAATATTAAGTATTAATAAATACTGCACTGATACATTGGCTGTCACTTTAAATTATATAAAATAGAAGACCTATACAAATCGCCTTGATTTAAAATGTGATATGCCTTTTTAATTTATTTTCACCCATGCATGTTAGATAACATTGTGTTCTGATCAATGAAATGACGAAATGATACCATTATATTTACTCATCATTTTCAACTAAAATGTGCACAATATTCAAAAGAGAATATGTCACCATAACCATAAATTCAAATTGCTAAAAGCAGGGGATAAAGTTACAAATATAGCGTAGTCTCAAAATTTGATCCTGAAAATGATAAATCATACTTATTATAATTAATTCGTTGGTATTTTGTTAATTTACCCCAAGTTTGATTCAACTTGATGCGTATCCGAGCTGATACATCGGTGAAACGTTGCATAGTGATATTAGTGAGATTTTACTAGACAACCGTGCCTTTATCAGGAACTGGCCAAAGTAGTGTCCTATTTTGATGCAAAGGTTAAAAGTTGACAAATGCATACTTTCCAATTTATTAAAAATTTCAATTACATGAGGTAAATTGTGAATCTAAGCCGGAGGTGCCACGCCCGGCCCAAACATCTGGTTATGTCTATCATTTGTTCAATGTTAAATTATGATTAAAATTTCAAGCGTCTACACTAATTAGATTATGAGAAATTCGTTTGAGTTAAACGGCAAAAACCAAATTACACACAGTTATTATAAAAGCGCAATTTTGATCAAAAAAAACAAGTGTTATATATCATTAGAAAGAAGAAATCGCACACATTAAGGATATCAAAAAAATTGTATGTTAATTAGGTCACGTGACAGAGCTCTTCAAAATTAAAAATTGCCATTTTCAAACGGCTTTAGAAACGGAAGATAATATCGATTGAAAAAGTAGATACATTTTTGGATAGATCTCGTCATGGGCAACAACTTTTGTGTGGGTCACAAGGTCACCAAAGGTCAGGGTAAAAATTTTGAAAATTGTTGTTTTCGGAAGTCTGTAAAAACGGAAGTATATGTCGGACATCAAAGATCAAAGTATGAATAGACATCCTAGATCATTGTTCTTTGACCTTGCAAAGGTCAAGGTCAAGCATGTTAAAGGTAAAAATTATTTTTTTAAATAATTGGTCTAGAGAACCTTATCTTTAACTTTAGTATGCCAATTCGATGCAAAGTTTAAGGGTGACAAACCCACACATTGCGAGTTCTGAACAATTTTAATTACATCAAGAAAATGTCAATCTTACCCGGATGTGCCACGCCCATCCAAAAAATTTGGTTATTTCCGCTATCATCTGTACAATGTTGAAAATTATCTTCAAAATTTCAAGCATCTACATTCATTACAACATAATGATTCCCTATTACGACTTAAAGAAATGGCGTCATTTTTCTTTATACTAGGATATCCTGTTTTTGTTACGCAAACAGCACTTCAGAGGGTCGTTGGTCTTACTAGGAGTGATGTCCTTACGCCTGCAGGTTGAAGCCGCAGAGAGGGTCCCGCTGGACCTTTCTTATCATCATCATAACCAACAACTCCGTAATATTCTGATTAATAACTTTCATATCATTTACCTATAACTGCTTTCCGTAAAGATATAAGTCATTTGGTTAGAAGCCATATAGTATCTGCCAACACATCACCTCTTGGTACATTGAGTTGTGGTCGTCGTATCTTTCATACTTGCAATCATGTTATCCGATATTATTCATGGCCCTCAATCCTTTGAACATATTCGCCACCCTTTCACATATATCACATAATATTGTGTATGTGTATTTGCTCCTTGTGTAATATGATCTAAATAGGCGAAACCCGATGTCAATTGTGTGAACGTTTCTCTGCCCGTCTCAGTAGTATTAAGCAAGATAACACTATCCCTGTTGTGTTTCTCCTCACAACATTATAAATAAATTTAATACAATAAAGATAACTAAAGTTGAATGTCTATATATGCTGTAGATTATGTGTGAAAATGATACTCATATTAAACTTTTGAAAGCTACTTTATGGACCCATGTGTCAATGTAACGTAGGTTTCAACATATCTGTTAGCTCAACAGACCTTTCCATACAACAACTATAGGTTATACCCACTTCCCTCGGTTGATAACTTCGCATCATTAATAAGATAACATATATAAATAAATCAGCTTTTTCATTATTTTCGAATAATTTCCACA